CCGAAATCAGTCCGCAAAACGCGGTGCGATGTGCAGAATCGGATCGCATGGGGGTGAATATCGATGTGATCCGATTTCTAGTGCGGACCCAAAAAAGGGTCCTGTACGTTTTGGGTGCGGTGCGACTAGAGCTATGCAAAATGTACGGCTCCGATCGCACCGCACGCAAATCGCATGTGATTTGCAGAGGAATGCGGTGCGGTTCCCGGACGAATCACATGCGTTCTAACGCACCGCATATATGTGAACCCGGACTCAATCAATGAACAAAAATCAAACACGGATGTGAAAGTCCAGGGCCAGTCAGTGAGTCCCCGTAAGATGCAACCCTGGCAGCTCATTTCTTGGACTGGGTGTTCCTTCTACTCCTCAAGGCTGAGCAGAGTGGCAGGGAATTGAACAGAATCAGGGGCGGACTGACAACTCATGGGGCCCCCGGGCAATAGGGGATCATGGGGCCCCTGTGTCCTTGCCCAAACTCAAAAAAGCCTATGAAAAAGGTACCAGGGCATCTCATGGGGCCCCCTACTGACCCCGGGCCCTCGGGCAGTGCCCGAGTTTCCAAATGGTCAGTCCGCCCCTGAACGGGAGGTAAGTATATTTACCTGGGGAAGGGGGTGGGGGGGTGGGGGGTGTCTGCATCAAAGCCGACCTGTTTCCTCGCCCTCTATGTACAAAGCACACCTTCACTTTAAGGAGCACTCCGCAGTTCACACTGCACCCTGAGAGCAGTTGCATCCTTTGGCACATTTCAGGCGCCCTCTGAAGTCTGCGGTCAGCCCAAATGAACTGAGCCCAGAACTAACTGACTGACTTCATCATAAACCGGCCCTGTTTATTTGTCATGGTGATGGAATGTTTCCTCTGCCGCCGGTCGCATCTGAAGTGTGATTTTTATATACTCTTCCCGGCGTTAGTCATAATTCTATTTACAGAATCCTTTACAGACACTTCAAAGCGGCCGAATGACGTCTCCGCAAAACGGAAAGGTCACTGAAAGCACTGAGGTTTCGGAGGCATTTTGGGGTCTACTCAGATTTTTCTGCTGGGCCCTTTGTGAGGGCAGAGATGTGGGGTACGGTAAATCACTTCTGGCTAAGATCAAGTGTGGAATCTGTTCTTATCAGCGTCCAGTAGGGGCGCTCCACCGTCCTTGTGGCTGCTCCGGTCCTGTCGTGATCCCGCTCCCCTGAGACAGCCAGCACAGCTGCAGGGGAGCGGAGGGAGCACTGATAATGTATGGGGGCATTGAAGCCTATGGGTGACGTCATTGCGGAGTGGCGGATTGATGGAGTGCTCTCTCCCCACCACTGCTGGCTGACATAGGGGATCATGTGACTAGACTGGAGCGGGCTGAAAGGAGGTAATTATATATATACAGTATCTCCCAGAAGTGAGTCCCCCCCCTCACATTTGTGTCAATCTTTTATTCTCTCTTTCCATGTGACAACACTGAAGAAATGACACGTTGCTACAATGTGACGTAGTCAGTGTACAGCTTGTATAACATGGAAATTTGCTGTCCCCTCAAAATAACTCAACACTCCGCCATTAATGTCTAAACCGCCGGCAAGAAAAGTGACTCCACCCCTAAGGGACAAGGTCCAAATTGGGGCCAAAGTGTCAATATTTTGTGTGGCTGCCATTATTTTCCCCTCTTGGGCATGGAGGTCACCAGAGCTTCACAGGTTGCCACCGGAGTCCTCTTCCACTCCTCCATGACGTCATCACGGAGCTGGTGGATGTTAGAGACCTTGTGCTCCTCCACCTTCCGTCTTCCACTCCTCCATGACGTCATCACGCAGCTGGTGGATGTTAGAGACCTTGTGCTCCTCCACCTTCCGTCTTCCACTCCTCCATGACGACATCACGGAGCTGGTGGATTTAGAGACCTTGCGCTCCTCCACCTTCCGTCTTCCACTCCTCCATGATGACATCACGGAGCTGGTGGATGTTAGAGACCTTGCGCTCCTCCACCTTCCGTCTTCCACTCCTCCATGACGACATGGCGGGATTGGTGGATTAGAGACCTTGCGCTCCTCCACCTTCCGTCTTCCACTCCTCCATGATGACATCACGGAGCTGGCGGTGGATGTTAGAGACCTTGCGCTCCTCCACCTTCCGTCTTCCACTCCTCCATGATGACATCACCTTGGAGCTTCCACTCCTCCATGGTGGATTTAGAGACCTTGCGCTCCTCCACCTTCCGTCTTCCACTCCTCCATGACGTCATCACGCAGCTGGTGGATGTTAGAGACCTTGCTCTCCTCCACCTTCCATATGAGGATGCCCCACAGATGTTCAATAGGGTTTAGGTCTGGAGACATGCTTGGCCAGTCCATCACTATTACCCTCAGCTTCTTTAGCAAGGCAGTGGTGGTCTTGGAGGTGTGTTTGGGGTCGTTATGTTGGAATACTGCCCTGTGGCCCAGTCTCCGGGGGAGGGGATCATGTCTGCTTTAGTATGTCACAGTACATGTTGGCCTTCATGGTTCCCTCAATGAACTGTAGATCCCCCAGTGCCGCATCAGCCATTGTTTTCGATCGTGGTGGTTTACATCTGTTCAAAGCGCTAATGTATGCAGTCCTGTGTTTGTTTTGTTTTTGTTTTTTTATTTTATGCATTTGTGCTTTGCTTAACAATGGCAGTTCATAAAAACACACACATGCTTGTTGGCAACGTAGTAAAAACAACTGAAAACACGCCTGGAAAGACACAACTGCTGCCTCATTCTCAAACCAGTGTTTTGTTTTGCATTTCGGTAGCATCCTGCTTCTTACCCCAGCCTCGGTTTTTGTTTTGTTTTGTTTTTTTTGTTTTTTTTTTTGTTTTTTGTTTTTGTTTTTGTTTTTTTTTTGTTTTTTTTGTTTTTTGTTTTTGTTTTGTGTTTTTGTTTTGTGTTTTGTGTTTTTGTTTTGTTTTTTGTTTTTTGTTTTGTTTTTTGTTTTTTTTTATGTGTAGTAACCCCTCTTGGGTTGCGGGCTTGGCAGCCCACGGCTCCAGTGCTGAAAGAGTTGAGCGTGCGACGGGCAGGCCTCGCCATGTGCTTGCTGTTATGTCTGGCAGCCTGGCCGCTCTCCGGGGGATGGTGTGCGGTTTCAGACCTCGCTTTAGAGCATTCTTCGAATACCCACAAAAACCGTTATGTAAAAACTCGTCAATGTGGACCACATCAAAACTCGGCAGCCACGGCCCAGCTCCTCCACAGCTGTGTTCCTGGGGATCCTGTTGTAGGTGCCATGTGCGGCTCGTCGCGCTGCGAGCGCAGCGTCGCGCAGATATTGGCGGCGGTCTGAGCCCCCCATACTTCGGGGATCGCTCGGATTTCTGTTTCCTGAAGGTAACGCTGGCCCTTCAGGCAGCAAAGGGGAGCCGGGTGCAGCCGACATTAATGTGAACCTGTCCGCAGGAACGTGTTCACAAACTGCTAATATAGAGATAAATGGGAAAACACCTGAGAGATGTAGAATATGGAACTTGTCATTTCCTGGCCTGCAAGACAACGGTCACCGGGGAAGGCGGTCCGTCTCCCCAATGGGGGCATAGATTGCTTTTTCTTACTCTGTCCCAAGGGTCTCCACATTTTCAAAGCAAAGGGCCAGTTTACTGTTGTTCCCACTTTAGGGGGGCCAGATTGTGGCCAGGGGGGTAGAATATGCCTCGGGCTCATTGGTATGTAGCAGGAAAATACATTTGTGCCTGTGGTGAGTTAGAGGAGGAATAGTTCCCCATCATTGGTGTCAGTGAGAGGAATAATGCCCCCCGTGTTGGTGTCAGTGAGAGGAATAGTGCCCTGTGTTTGTGTCAGTGAGAGGAATAGTGCCCGTGTTGGTGTCAGTGAGAGGAATAGTGCCTCGTGTTGGTGTCAGTGAGAGGAATATTGCCCAGTGTTGGTGTCAGTGAGAGGAATATTGCCCAGTGTTGGTGTCAGTGAGAGGAATAGTGCCCTGTGTTGGTGTCAATGAGAGGAATATTGCCCCAGTGTCGATGTCAGTGAGAGGAATAGTGCCCTGTGTTGGTGTCAATGAGAGGAATAGTTGCCCCGTGTTGGTGTCAGTGAGAGGAATATTGCCCAGTGTTGGTGTCAGTGAGAGGAATAGTGCCCTGTGTTGGTGTCAATGAGAGGAATATTGCCCAGTGTCGATGTCAGTGAGAGGAATAGTGCCCCGTGTTGGTGTCATTGAGAGGAATAGTGCCCCGTGTTGGTGTCAGTGAGAGGAATAGTGCCCCGTGTCAGTGAGAGGAATAGTGCCCCGTGTTGGTGTCAGTGAGAGGAACATTGCCCCGTGTTGGTGTCAGTGAGAGGAATAGTGCCCCGTGTTGGTGTCAGTGAGAGGAATATTGCCCCGTGTCGGTGTCAGTGAGAGGAACATTGCCCCGTGTCGGTGTCAGTGAGAGGAACATTGCCCCGTGTCGGTGTCAGTGAGAGGAATATTGCCCCGTGTCGGTGTCAGTGAGAGGAACATTGCCCCGTGTTGCTGTCAATGAGAGGAATATCGTGCCACTGTTGGTGTCAGTGAGAGGAGTATTGCCCCGTGTCGGTGTCAGTGAAAGGAATATCGTCCCACTGTTGGTGTCAGTGGAGGGAATGGAGCCTCAAGGCTGCTGTCAGGACGAGGAATAGTGTCTTATGTCAGAGGGAAGGACAGTGCCCCAAGGGCCAAATAAAGGCAAGCAAAGGGCCACCTCCCGGCCCATGGGCCGCATTTTGCAGACCATTACTCCATCCAAAGCTAGAAGACATGTTTTGGCCGGAGTTCTGTTCTAACTGCCATTGGGCTGCATTGGAGGGGAGGGGCCTCTGAGCTCTGACTTGAAGTAAAGTCAGTATTTGCATACAACACCTTTCTCCATTCAGAAGCTTTTAGGGCGCTGTAGACTGAATGTAGGACAAGCCAGGGGGGTGTATTCGTAAATCCGTGTCATCGGGACTGAGCGTGATTCCACGGCGGCCTTTTTTGATAGACATCACATGACTTTGTGCCCTTCCAATCCGCAGGTATTTTGAAGGAGGCGTGTCCTCTGTGTACCTCTGGGATCTGGACCACGGATTCGCCGGAGTGATCCTCATTAAGAAAGCTGGAGACGGCTCCAAGAAGATCAAAGGCTGCTGGGACTCCATCCACGTGGTGGAAGTACAGGTAACGGCGCCCCCACCAGGCTGAACGAGTTTTCTAGATTACTGAATGTCCTTTGCAGAACTATTGATTGACACCCGAGTATCTGCCGGTGAAGAAATGGCCAGGTGTGAGCTTCCTTAAAGGATAAGTTCACCTTTTAAAATAAATAAATAAATAAATAAATGCACATCTGCAGGTAAAAAAAAAAGTGCATTTATTTGTATTTATTATTATTATTATTATTATTATTATTTATTTTTATTTATTATTATTATTATTATTATTATTATTATTATTTATTTTTATTTATTTTATTATTATTATTATTTATTTTTATTTATTTATTTTTTTACTTGGAGCTTGTAAAGCATTGCAGCAGCAGATCGCAGGACTCCTGCACACTCAATTAGTTTATAATCAAAAATAATTTTTTCAAAATTTTTTTTTACATTTTTATTTTTTTATACATTTATTTATTTTTTTTTAACATACTGTCACCCTAGCAGTACAGTGTCACCATAGTGACACTACTACTTGTGGGGGGTGATTTAGATCTTTTTAGGAAAAAAAATAACCCAAATTAGTTTATAACCAAAAATTTATTATTTTTAAACTTTTTTTTTTTTACATTTTTATTTTATTTTTTTATGTTTGTTTTTTTTTTTACATACTGTCACCCTAGCAGTACAGTGTCACCATAGTGACACTGTACAACTTGTGGGGGGTGATTTATTTATTTTTATTTTTTTTTACACTGATTGCCTTTACACCCAAAAAGGCCATAAAAGCAATAATTTCTCCTCTCTGGCTGCATTCTTGCAGCCATTGAGAAATACTGGGAGAGCTGTGATTGGTCACAGCTTGTCACATGGTACAAGGCTGTTGTGAATAGCCCTGTACCATGTGATCTCTGTGATCATTCACAGATTCTCAGGGAGCGCGCACAGGCAGTGGATGCGGGGGGGGGGCGTTTATAAACGTCCACCCGCATCGGCAGCGCTCCCGTCCGACCCACGTGGATAAACTGCCAGACAGGAGCTCTGCCAATGCGGGTGGACGTTTCTACATGCCCCAAAACGCTCCCCCTCCTCCGCATCCACTGCCTGTGCGCACTCCCTGGGAATCTGTGAATGATCACAGAAAAGTGATTAAAACACCTTTTTCCCTCCAATGCTCTGAACTGGCAGAGCTGAGTAATAGCCACACCTGCAGAGAAGGGTGGGGGGGCGTGTCTGAGCAGAGAGGGGGCGTGCCTGCCGGACCCGTACTGAATTCTCAGAGCACAGGGGGTCCTTTTCTCATTCCTATTGGACCGCACACAGTTCTCTCCGTTGGGTTCAGGCTTTATTACGTTGTCATTCCATTCACAAGTGTCTTCTGACTCCTCCCCTTTTTGCAGGAGAAGTCAAGCGGCCGCACCGCCCATTACAAACTGACCTCTACTGTGATGCTGTGGCTGCAGACCAACAAGACCGGGTCAGGTACTATGAACCTCGGGGGAAGTCTCACCCGACAGGTAGGTCCCGCCCATGGCCCCCCCCCCCCCAACGCTGCCTCCTCCTCCTGTCTGCCGTATTCTTATATTTGTATCGCTTTCAGATGGAGAAAGATGAAACTGTGAGCGACTCTTCCCCGCACATAGCAAATATCGGACGGCTGGTAGAGGTAAGCGCCCCCCCAAATCATGAATTGTTACGGAACCTTGAAAGGTAGAAGGGTGTGTCGTTGATACCCACCCCTTTTAAATTAAGCCCCACCCCTTCCTCCACAGAAACAAAGCCGCATACCACTAAGGCAGGCTATAGGTCATGTGATTTTTGAAAGAAAATTGCTTGATTGCTAATGAACACGGTGTTGATGGGGGAATTACTCCTGGGGGGCTACTGCCGGGTAGAAGCTGGAGGCGGAGCTGGGATGTGGAAGGTGCAGGGTCTGAAGGAGGACCAGAAGAGGGCTGGAGTCTGCGGAATGATGAGACCAGGGGAGGCAAAGATGAGGGGTTGCTGTGGCTGCAGGATCTGTAGGAGGAGTTCTGTCCTCCTCTGAGCTGCTGACTGCTGAGACCTGGGGTGGGGGGGTTGCAGAGATGAGCCTCTTTAGGGTGCATGGAGAAACGCAGGATCTGTAGGAGGAGTTCTGTTCTCTCTGCTGCTGACTGTTGAGACCAGGAGTGGGGGGTTGTAGAGATGAGCCTCTTCCGGGTGCATGGAGAAACGCAGGATCTGAAGGAGGAGTTCTGTTCTCTCTGCTGCTGACTGCTGAGACCAGGGGTGGGGGGTTGTAGAGATGAGCCTCTACAGGGTGTATGGAGAAACGCAGGATCTGGTGGAGGAGTTCTGTTCTCTCTGCTGCTGACTGCTGAGACCAGGGGTGGGGGGTTGCAGAGATGAGCCTCTTCAGGGTGTATGGAGAAACGCAGGATCTGGTGGAGGAGTTCTGTTCTCTTTGCTGCTGAGACCAGGGGTGGGGGGTTGTAGAGATGAGCCTCTACAGGGTGTATGGAGAAACGCAGGATCTGGTGGAGGAGCTCTGTTCTCTCTGCTGCTGAGACCAGGGGTGGGGGGTTGCAGAGATGAGCCTCTTCAGGGTGCATGGAGAAATGCAGGATCTGTAGGAGGAGTTCTGTTCTCCTCTCTGCTGCTGAGACCAGGGGTGGGGGGTTGCAGAGTTGAGCCTCTACAGGGTGCATGGAGAAACGCAGGATCTGGTGGAGGAGTTCTGTTCTCCTCTCTGCTGCAGACTGCTGAGACCAGGGGTGGGGGGTTGTAGAGATGAGCCTCTACAGGGTGTATGGAGAAACGCAGGATCTGGTGGAGGAGCTCTGTTCTCTCTGCTGCTGAGACCAGGGGTGGGGGGTTGCAGAGATGAGCCTCTTCAGGGTGCATGGAGAAATGCAGGATCTGTAGGAGGAGTTCTGTTCTCTCTGCTGCTGAGACCAGGGTGGGGGGGGTTGCAGAGATGAGCCTCTACAGGGTGCATGGAGAAACGCAGGATCTGGTGGAGGAGTTCTGTTCTCCTCTCTGCTGCAGACTGCTGAGCCAAGGTGGAGACAAGGGGGGTGCAGGATAGGTCTGAGGGCCACATGAAATGGCCTGGAGGGCCGGATTGGGCCCTGGCTTGACACCTGTGTTCTACAAGGACTGAGCAGCATAGTTTGTGTCTCGATGGTTCTGTCACATCACGGGATTCGTTTTTTTTTTTTTTTTCAGGACATGGAGAACAAAATCAGGAGCACCCTGAACGAGATCTACTTTGGAAAGACCAAGGACATAGTCAACGGGTTGAGGTAACGGTAACGGGCGCTTCTCGTGACGTGCGCTCTGCACGCCCCAAATGTAGGGACCCCAATCCATTCTGTTATGTCCTGTGTGTGCCGTCCTGAGCTGGACAAATCTCGGGGTCCCCAGTGGGCCCAGCTGGCGTTCAGCCGGTTTTATTTTTTTTTAGAAGGGTGACCCGCTTACTGCTTGGCAGGAGGGCGCTTCACGTGTCTGCCAAAGCCTCCGGCCTTAAAGTAGAATCCCGGCCTAAACCTAACTAGCCTTACAAATCCCCCCCCCCCCCCCCCCCCCCCCCCCAACACCTATGGTGACCGACTTGTGTAAGCTGGTTGTATATACGTACCAATCTGCAGTCCGGTCATGTGACCTCCCTTGGGTTGGCCAGTGGCAGTTGCAAAGGATTGGAGAGTGCGCTTGACACAGACAGGGAATTCCTGGGAGCGGTGACATCACCCATAGGCTCCCATGTCTTGAGTCGTTGTCGACGCTCCCTCTTCTCCCCTGCAGCTGACACAGGTGATCATGTGACTATAGGTAAGTATGTGCAGCCTACACAGGTTAGTCAGTGTAGGTGTTAGGAGGGGGGGGGGGGGACTAGTTAGCTTTAGGTAGGAGTTCTGCTTTAACAGGCTGGTCTGGATGAGGCCACCCTGACAGGTCCTCTGATTTGTCCCCCCCTGCTCCTCCAGTGTGTCGTCCCGCCCCCTGTGTGTGTGTGTGTGTGTCGTCCCGCCCCCTGCCCCGTGTGTGTGTGTGTCGTCCCGCCCCCGTGTGTGTGTGTGTGTCGTCCCGCCCCCGTGTGTGTGTGTCGTCCCGCCCCCGTGTGTGTGTGTGTGTCGTCCCGCCCCCGTGTGTGTGTGTGTGTGTGTGTGTGTGTCGTCCCGCCCCCGTGTGTGTGTGTCCCCCCCCGTGTGTGTGTGTGTGTGTCCCGCCCCCGTGTGTGTGTGTCGTCCCGCCCCCCGTGTGTGTGTGGTGTGTGTGTGTCGTCCCCGCCCCCGTGTGTGTGTGTGTGTCGTCCCGCCCCCGTGTGTGTGTGTGTGTGTGTGTCCCGTCCCCGCCCCCGTGTGTGTGTGTGTGTGTGTGTGTGTGTGTGTGTGTCGTCCCGCTCCCGTGTGTGTGTGTGTGTGTGTGTGTCCCGCCCCCGTGTGTGTGTGTGTGTCGTCCCGCCCCCGTGTGTGTGTGTCGTCCCGCCCCCGTGTGTGTGTGTGTGTGTGTCCGTCCCGCCCCCGTGTGTGTGTGTGTGTGTGGTGTGTGTCCCGCCCCCGTGTGTGTGTGTGTCCCGCCCCCGGTGTGTGTGGGTGTGTGTCCCGCTGGGAAGTGTGTGTGTTGGTGTGTGTGTGGTGTCGTCCCCCCCCGTGTGTGTGTGTGTGTGTCGGGTGTTGGGGTGTGTGTGGTGTGGTGGTCGTCCCGCCCCCGTGTGTGTGTGTCGTCCCGGGGGGTGTGTGTGTGTGTGTCGTCCCGCCCCCGTGGGTGTGGTGTGTGTGGTGTGTGTGGGGTCGTCCCGCGGGGGGTGGTGTGTGTGTGTGTGTGTGGTGTGGTCCGGGTGCTGTGTGTGTGTGTGTGTGGTGTGGTCGTCCCGCCCCCGTGTGGTGTGTGTGTCGTCCCGGGGGGTGGTGTGTGTGTGTGGTGTGTGTGTGGGTGCCCGTGTGTGTCGTGGGGGGGGTGTGTGTGGGTGTGTGTGTTGGTGGGTTGCTTGGGGGGTGTGTGTGTCCGCCCCCGTGTGTTTGTGTGTGGTCTGTGTGTGGGGGGGTGTGTGTGTGTGTGTGTGGGTGTGTGTGTGTGTGTGTGTGGTGTGGTGTGTGGGGGGGGTCGTCCCGGGTGGTGTGTGTGGGGTGTGGTGTGTGTCGTTGGGGGTGTGTGTGTGTGTGTGTCCCTGGGTGTGTGTGTCGTTGTGTGTGTGTGTGTGTGTGTGTTGTGTGTGTGTCCGCTCCCGTGTGTGTGGGTGTCGTCCCGCTCCCGTGTGTGTGTGGTGTGTGTGTCGTCCCGCTCCCCTGTGTGTGTGTTTGTGGCTGTGTGGGGTGTGTCGTTTGCTCCCGTGTGTGTGGGGGGTGGGTCGTCCCGCCCCGTGTGTGTGTGTGTGTGTTGTGGGTGTGTGTGTGTCCGTCCCGCCCCCGTGTGTGTGGTGTGTCGTCCCGCTCCCGTGTGTGTGTGTGTGGTGTCCCGTGGGGTGTGTGTGTGTTGTCCCGCCCCGTGTGTGTGTGTGGTGTCCGCTCCCGTGTGTGTGTGTGTGTGTGTGTCCCGTCCCGTGTGTGTGTGTGTGGGGTGGGGTGTGTGTGTTGTGGTGTGTGTGTGTGTGTGTGTGTGTGTGTCCCGCCCCGTGTGTGTGTGTGTGTGGTGTTTTGGGTGTGTGTGTGTGTGTGTGTCGTCCCGCTTGGGTGTGTGGGTGTGTGTGTCTGTTGTTGGGCTCCCGTGGGTGTGTGTGTGTGTGTCGTCCCGCTTTGGTGTGTGTGTGGGGTGTGTGTCGTCCCGCTCCCGTGTGTGTGTGTGTGTGTCCCGCTCCCGGGGGTGTGTGTGTGTGTGTCGGTGTGTGTGTGTGTGTGTGGGTGTGGCTCCCGTGTGTGTGTGTGGTGTGTGTTCGTCCCGCTCCCGTGTGTGTGTGTGTGTGTGTCGTCCCGCTCCCCGTGTGTGTGTGTGTGTGTGTGTGGTGGGTTCCCGGTGTGTGTGTCGTGTTGTCCCGTGTGTGTGTGTGTGTTCCCGCCCCCGTGTGTGTGTCGTGTGTGTGGTGTGTGTGTGTGGGGGTGGTGTGTGTGTGTTGTGTGGTGTGTGTGTGGGGGGTGTGTGTGTGGGTGTGGTGTGTGTCGTCCCGCTTGGGGTGGTGTGTGTGTGTGTCCCGCCCCCGTGTGGTGTGTGTGTCCCGCTCCCGTGTGTGTGTGTGTGTGTTGTGGGGTCCCGGTCCCGTGTGTGTGTGTGTGTTCGTCCCGCCCCCGTGTGTGTGTGTGGCCCCCGTGTGTGTGTGTCGTCCCGCTCCCGTCCGTGTGTGTGTCGTCCCGCTCCCGTGTGTGTGTGTGTGTGTGTGTGTGTCCCGCTCCCGTGTGTGTGTGTGTGTGTCCCCGTGTGTGTGTGTGTCGTGTCGTCCGCTCCCGTGTGTGTGTGTGTGTCGTCCCGCTCCCGTGTGTGTGTGTGTGTGTGTGTCGTCCTGCTCCCGTGTGTGTGTGTGTCGTCCCGCTCCCGTGTGTGTGTGTGTGTGTCCCGCTCCCGTGTGTGTGTCGTCCCGCTCCCGTGTGTGTGTGTGTGTGTGTGTGTGTCGTCCCGCTCCCGTGTGTGTGTGTGTGTGTGTGTGTCCCGCTCCCGTGTGTGTGTGTGTCGTCCCGCTCCCGTGTGTGTGTGTGTGTCGTCCCGCCCCCTGTGTGTGTCGTCCCGCCCCCTGCTCCTGTGTGCGGTCCTGTGTGCGGTCCCGTGTGTGGTCCCATCCCCCGTGCTCTGTCCCGTCTCATTCCATCTTCTCTCTCTCTCCTCCTGCCGGGATCTCACGTATAGATCTATAGACGCAATCCCCGACAACGTTAAGTTCAGACAACTCCAGCGGGAGCTGTCCCAAGTGCTGACACAACGGCAGATCTACCTCCAGCCCGATAACTAGACCCAGGTACCCACCGCGTGCCCGTCACCACTGCCTCAGTACCGGTGCCCGCATGGTGTGCGCCCCGGAGCTCCTGTCACCGCAGTGCTGCATGGCTCGGTATCACTGGGCAGCACCGATCCTCCTCTGTAATGCATGTGAGGTTTCCACTGGGGGCTTGTCTGCTGCCCGGCAGACCTGGTCTCATGGTGTGTGGCGTTTGGCATGGTTTAAGATTTCCAGCGGGGATCACGATTACTCTGTGGACAGGACACGGCCGGGTAACGTCATCCAAAGCTGCATTTTCAGTTGTGGGTGGAAGCAACTGTCTCCCCTCCCCCACAGTGGTCCTTTCCTTCTCTTTAGTCTCCAGGTTCATTTAAATGCAGAAAATGAGAACCATTCAGGTGTGTCCTTTAATTTCCGCTTGCAGGATTTTCTGTGCCCCGCCCGCCCGCCTGCCGGGAATGATGGCTGCCGGGACCACAGCAGCCACGAGCCCATCATTTAAAATCGTCTACAGCAACCAATCAGATTCTGCCTGGCATGTGTTTAGTGCGGGCTGTGAAGTGAAAGGATCAATCAGATTGCTTCAGGGGAGCACAGACAGTTCCTCTTTCATAACAAAGACCCTGGTGTGTGATGGGGGGGGGGGGGGGGGGGGGGGGGGACACGCTGCATGGAGTGACTAACACTGAGTGGAGTTTACTGAGAAGCATGTCACCTAACTATATGTACTAAGAGTGGAGCACCGCCGGAACCCCCACCATCTACTGATCTCATCAATAAACAAGTGTGAGTATCTAACATATACCGCAGCGCTGTACAAAGATCACTGAGCCGGTCCCATCAGTCTCTGTAAAAGAGGAGCTTACGCTCTAATGTCCCCTCCCCCACAGTCCCATCAGTCTCTGTAAAAGAGGAGCTTACGCTCTAATGTCCCCTCCCCCACAGTCCCATCAGTCTCTGTACCAGAGGAGCTTACGCTCTAATGTCCCCTCCCCCGCAGTCACATCAGTCTCTGTACCAGAGGAGCTTACGCTCTAATGTCCCCTCCCCCCGCAGTCCCATCAGTCTCTGTACCAGAGGAGCTTACGCTCTAATGTCCCCTCCCCCGCAGTCCCATCAGTCTGTACCAGAGGAGCTTACGCTCTAATGTCCCCTCCCCCGCAGTCACATCAGTCTGTACCAGTGGACCTTACGCTCTAATGTCCCCTCCCCCGCAGTCACATCAGTCTCTGTACCAGAGGAGCTTACGCTCTAATGTCCCCTCCCCCGCAGTCACATCAGTCTCTGTACCAGAGGAGCTTACGCTCTAATGTCCCCTCCCCCACAGTCACATCAGTCTCTGTACCGGAGGAGCTTACGCTCTAATGTCCCCTCCCCCGCACAGTCACATCAGTCTCTGTACCAGAGGAGCTTACGCTCTAATGTCCCCTCCCCCGCAGTCACATCAGTCTCTGTACCGGAGGAGCTTACGCTCTAATGTCCCCTCCCCCGCAGTCACATCAGTCTGTACCAGTGGAGCTTACGCTCTAATGTCCCCTCCCCCACAGTCACATCTGTCTCTGTACCAGAGGAGCTTACGCTCTAATGTCCCCTCCCCCACAGTCACATCAGTCTCTGTACCGGAGGAGCTGACGCTCTAATGTCCCCTCCCCCGCAGTCACATCAGTCTGTACCAGTGGAGCTTACGCTCTAATGTCCCCTCCCCCGCAGTCACATCAGTCTGTACCAGTGGAGCTTACGCTCTAATGTCCCCCCCCCCGTCACATCAGTCTCTGTACAGAGGAGCTTACGCTCTAATGTCCCCTCCCGCACAGTCCCGTCACATCAGTCTCTGTACAGAGGAGCTTACGCTCTAATGTCCCCTCCCCCACAGTCCCTTCAGTCTCTGTACCAGAGGAGCTTACGCTCTAATGTCCCCTCCCCCACAGTCCCATCAGTCTCTGTCAACATTAGAGTGTAAGCTCCTCTGATAAATGTCAATCCTTGTTCTGAAATGAGCTCTCCGATGAAAAGGGATTGAAATGTAAGCAGTAAGTTGATATTTGTACCGCGGGGGAGGAGCTACACCTACTATTGGATATTATTGATCATGGGAGGAGCTCTTTCATAGCTCCACCTTTTGTATGTCGGTTGTAGCGGGCGTTGCGGGTGTGCGGACCCAGGAGCCCCTCGCCAGAGTCCCCGATAGACACAACACTCCATCAGATGGGTCATAGCAAACACCGAGGTATCAGTTCTGGACGGGACGACCCCTTTCCATCCATCCATCCTCGGGGGCCGGCTTCCCCTAACCAGACAATCTGACCGTTCCTCTGATTATCATTAACTCGCTACAAATTACAATTTACTAAAGAGATCATTTTATTGGCTTCTCGTCTGAGCGGAACACACAACGCCGGCGAACATCCCAAACCGAATGCCAGCCCAGCGCCCCCAGGAGCCCCTTCATTTCAGCATCGCCGGGAAACGGCGCCTCGTATTTGGACCGGATCGGTTGATCTAGGACAGGGGTGGGCAACTGTGGCCCTCCAGCTGTTGTAGAACTAAAAGTCCCATGAGGCATTGCAAAACTGACAGTTACAAGCATGACTCCCAAAGGCAGAGGCATGATGGGACTTGTAGTTCACCAACAGCTGGAGGGACATAGTTGCCCACCCATGATCTAGAAGAGGGACGACTGGAGCATGAACTGGAGGATATAGAGATGATTTTCTCCCCCTCTATACGGAGCATTGGGGGGGCCACAGGAGCTCCCAGAATAGAGTCGCATGGGGGCTAAAATGGCGGCCAAATGGTGGCCCTTCTTATGGCTCCATTCACACTTTGTGCGACTTCATGCATCTTTGATGATGAGTTGCAGTCCATGTATGTCAATGGAAGCCGCTCAGATCTGTGACTTTAAAAAGGTTCCGGCGCTACTTTGATGCGACTTTCAGATTTGAGCGCCATAGACTGCAATGTAAACTCGCAAATCAGTCTCGCCCCCAAAGTCTCGCCCCTCCAAAGTCTCGCCCCTCCAAAGTCTCGCCCCTCCAAAGTCTCGCCCCTCCCAAAGTCTCGCCCCTCCCAAAGTCTCGCCCCTCCCAAAGTCTCGCCCCTCCAAAGTCTCGCCCCTCCAAAGTCTCGCCCTCCCAAAGTCTCGCCCCTCCCAAAGTCGCACCCAAATCGCGCCCATCCGTGGTAAATGATTTGTCTCGTCCCTGTAACTGATGCGTTCTGCTGGAAAGCTTGTTCTTTTGAAAATCAGATTTAGTGGCTGGATCGCCAGGTGAAGATAAAGAAAGGAAAGGCTACAAAAGAAAACGAATGCAGCCACCACATCTAAGAATTGGAAAGCTGATCATTGTAAACGCCCACTCTCCATGGTAAATGGTTTGTCTCGTCCCTGTAACTGATGCAGTCCGCTGGAGAGCTTGTTCTTTTGAAAATCAGACTTACTGGCTGGATCGCCAGGTAAAAATGAAGGAAACAAAACCTAAAAAAAAGAAAACGAATGCAGCTGCCACATCTAAGAATTGGAAAGCTGAGCATTGTAAGCACCCCGTCTGTGGTAAATGGTTTGTCTCGTCCCTGTAACTGATACAGTCTGCTGGAGAGCTTGTTCTTCCTGGCTGGATCACCAGGTGAAAACAAGGAAAGGCTACAAAAGAAAACTAATGCAGCCACCACATCTAAGAATTTGTAATCTGCAATATACCAAATGTTTGATTTTGGGTTTAATGCGCTTTAAAGGAATTTCAAGGAAATCTCAAAAATGGGTAATTAATAACTGCCCATTTAGGGGAGGGACTTCCCCTTAAAGGGATAGATGCATTTCTCACTATATCCCCAGGGGGGCCCCCTCTACAGATGGACAGCAGTGTCACTGTGGTAGCCCACCCAGGACGCTGAAATGCCACGTGCAATGGGCAACCAATGTGACCTCTATGGGCGGAGCCTGTGGCTCCTCGTAGCAGTACGACAGTATGAATGGGGTGATCTGCGTCAGTCATCCACGTCTGCGGGCCTCCCCTTTAATGGGGGCGGAGCTTCGGGGGTGTAGTTACCCTTTAAGCCCATTCTTCTGAACAGCCGACCCCGAACCTTCCGCTGCGATTTTGTTTGTAACGTTTTGTCTCTCCTCCCCTGCAGGTCCGTTCAGACGTTTGCAGACAAGTCAAAACAGGAGGCTTTGAAGAACGACTTAGTGGAGGCTTTGAAGAGAAAACAGCAAAGTTAAATGTTTCCCCATCCCCCGCACCCTTTTCATTTCTTACACAATCGTCCCTCCCCCTCCCCCCACCCCTCCCCCGTTCGTCTGTCATTGTCTCCATTTTTTTTTTCCTCTCGTTACGTCTGCAGCCCATACATAGCCATCTAGCGCTGTCCACTCCTGTTAAATAAAGTTGTATGAATCTTTACAAAAAACAAAAAAATGTCTAGGGGGGCTTTAACTGCAACGTCACCCCCCTCCCCCCTTTCCCCTCCCGCGTCTCACATTTTGTGCTAACTTCCCCTCCCCCTTCTCGCAGACTTGCCCCTCCCCCGCGGATCTTTGTAAACAGGATTGGCCGACTTTCTGGGCCTGCCGGCTGACTGCCAGGGAATGCTGGGACTGTTAGTTCACCGCTTTGTGGCAGGCCGCCCGTTGTCGCACCTTCTGTATACTGCACATACTGTTTAACCCCCAGAGTGCCAGCACCCGGCACCTCTTTTAAGATGGCTGACTTTGGAATGGCGGAAGTGAAGACTCGATCACTGGAAGATCAGCTCCCTCTGACCCCGTCTCTCTCTTTATGATTTGTTACTTTCCTGGTGTCACTCTGGGAACTGCTTTAGGTTTTGTTTTTTTTTTTTTTCTTGTTTTGTTATATATATTTTTTTGTAAAGCTTTAAGTCTTCTTTAAGAGCCTTCCTATACTAACAATAAATGATTGGAAATACCTGGCCGGGGTGTTGGGTTATGTGGGGGAAGGGGGGCGGGGCTTGTATCTTGGGGTCCTGGAGCGGAGCTGTTATTACTGAGGGGTCATCGGGGCCATAGAGGGACACGTGCATGCTGAGGGGACACGGGGGCCATAGAGGGACACGTGCATGCTGAGGGGTCACCGGGGGCCATAGAGGGACACGTGCATGCTGAGGGGTCACCGGGGGCCATAGAGGGACACGTGCATGCTGAGGGGTCACCGGGGGCCATAGAGGGACACGTGCATGCTGAGGGGTCATCGGGGGCCATAGAGGGACACGTGCATGCTGAGGGGTCACCGGGGGCCATAGAGGGACACGTGCATGCTGAGGGGTCACCAGGGGCCATAGAGGGACACGTGCATGCTGAGGGGTCACCAGGGGCCATTTAGGGACACGTGCATGCTGAGGGGTCACCAGGGGCCATAGAGGGACACGTGCATGCTGAGGGGTCACCAGGGGCCATAGAGGGACACGTGCATGCTGAGGGGTCATCAGGGGCCATTTAGGGACACGTGCATGCTGAGGGTCACCAGGGGCCATAGAGGGACACGTGCATGCTGAGGGGTCATCAGGGGCCATTTAGGGACACGTGCATGCTGAGGGGTCACCAGGGGCCATAGAGGGACACGTGCATGCTGAGGGGTCATCAGGGGCCATAGAGGGACACGTGCATGCTGAGGGGTCATCAGGGGCCATTTAGGGACACGTGCATGCTGAGGGGTCATCAGGGGCCATAGAGGGACACGTGCATGCTGAGGGGTCATCATGGGCCATTTAGGGACACGTGCATGCTGAGGAGTCATCAGGGGCCATTTAGGGACACGTGCATGCTGAGGGATCACCAGGGGCCATTTTAGGGACACGTGCATGCTGAGGGTTCACCAGGGGCCATTTAGGGACACGTGCATGCTGAGGGGTCACCAGGGGCCATTTAGGGACACGTGCATGCTGAGGGAACACCTGGGGCCATAGAGGGACACGTGCATGCTGAGGGGTCACCAGGGCCATTTAGGGACACGTGCATGCTGAGGGAGGTCACCAGGGGCCATTTAGGGACACGTGCATGCTGAGGGAACACCAGGGGCCATTTAGGGACACGTGCATGCTGAGGGATCACCAGGGCATTTAGGGACACGTGCATGCTGAGGGGTCACAGGGGCCATCTTAGGGACACGTGCATGCTGAGGGATCACCAGGAGCCATCTAGGGACACGTGCATGCTGAGGGATCACCAGGAGCCATCTAGGGACACGTGCATACTGAGGGTTCACCAGGGGCCATTTTAGGGACATGTGCATGCTGAGGGATCACCAGGGGCCATCTAGGGACACATACATACTGAGGGTTCACCAGGGGCCATTTTAGGGACATGTGCATGCTGAGGGATCACCAGGGGCCATTTACTGCCTTATACTGGACTGCATGTGATTGGACGGTGATACTGCCTCCGGGGGGGGGGGGGGGGGGTGGGGGGGGGTCACACGGGCACAACATTGTCAGACATTGTAGCCTCGCTCATACAGGGGTGCACCTCATGTGCGGTCCATGATTGAAGCTTTCCTGTGCATTGGGATGCAGCGGCGGCACGGACACAGCCATGTGAGTGCGTGGCCCCAAATAGACGTCACTGTGTTGGTGTTGCCAGTGCTTCCCAATTGACTGGAATGGGGCTGCCTGCGTGGGGATGCACGGAACACCATGGCCCTTACACAGGCGTCTCCTATACTATGCCCATGTGAACCAGACCAAGTCCATTGGGAGCAGCGGCTGTGTTTGTGACATCAATGCATCCCAATTGACTTGAATGGAGATTCATGGAACACCGTGGCCCTTGTGCTGGCCAACCCTATAGTAGGTCCATGTGAGGGATACCTTAGACAAGCTGTCTCCAAACAGTGGCTTGGGGGCCAGGTGTGGCCCTCTGCTTCTATCTGGCCATTAGAGCACCATTTTATCCACTTCAATAGCAGGGCACTATTCCTCCCACTGACACCAATGACGGGGCACTATTCCTCCCACTGACACCAATGACGGGGCACTATTCCTCCCACTGACACCAATGACGGGGCACTATTCCTCCCACTGACACCAATGACGGGGCACTATTCCTCCCACTGACACCAATGACGGGGCGCTATTCCTCCCACTGACACCAATGACGGGGCGCTATTCCTCCCACTGACACCAATGACGGGGCGCTATTCCTCCCACTGACACCAATGACGGGGCGCTATTCCACTGACACCAATGACTGACACCAATGGGGGGCGCTATTCCTCCACTGACACCAACGACGGGGCGCTATTCCTCCCACTGACACCAACGACGGGGCGCTATTCCACTGACACCAACGACGGGGCGCTATTCCCACTGACACCAACGACGGGGCGCTATTCCTCCCCCTGACACCAACGACGGGGCGCTATTCCTCCCCCACTGACACCAACGACGGGGCGCTATTCCTCCCACTGACACCAACGACGGGGCGCTATTCCTCCCACTGACACCAACGACGGGGCGCTATTCCCCCACTGACCCACTGACACCCCCACACAACGACGGGGCGCTATTCCTCCCACTGACACCAACGACGGGGCTCTATTCCTCCCCCACTGACACCAACGACGGGGCTCTATTCCCCCCCCACTGACACCAACGACGGGGCTCTATTCCCCCCCCACTGACACCAACGACGGGGCTCTATTTCCCCCCCACTGACACCAACGACGGGGCTCTATTCCCCCCCCACTGACACCAACGACGGGGCTCTATTCCCCCCCACTGACACCAACGACGGGGCTCTATTCCCCCCCACTGACACCAACGACGGGGCTCTATTCCCCCCCCACTGACACCAACGACGGGGCGCTATTCCTATTCCCCCCCCACTGACACCAACGACGGGGCTCTATTCCCCCCCACTGACACCAACGACGGGGCGCTATTCCCCCCCCACTGACACCAACGACGGGGCTCTATTCCCCCCCCACTGACACCAACGACGGGGCTCTATTCCCCCCACTGACACCAACGACGGGGCTCTATTCCCCCACTGACACCAACGACGGGGCTCTATTCCCCCCCACTGACACCAACGACGGGGCTCTATTCCCCCCCCACTGACACCAACGACGGGGCTCTATTCCCCCCACTGACACCAACGACGGGGCGCTATTCCCCCCCCCACTGACACCAACGACGGGGCGCTATTCCCCCCCCACTGACACCAACGACGGGGCGCTATTCCCCCCCCACTGACACCAACGACGGGGCGCTATTCCCCCCACTGACGGGGCGCTATTCCACTGACCAAACGACGGGGCGCTATTCCCCCCCCACTGACACCAACGACGGGGCGCTATTCCCCCCCCCTGACACCAACGACGGGGCGCTATTCCCCCCCCCCCACTGACACCAACGACGGGGCGCTATTCCCCCCACTGACACCAACGACGGGGCGCTATTCCCCCCCACTGACACCAACGACGGGGCGCTATTCCCCCCCCCACTGACACCAACGACGGGGCGCTATTCCCCCCCCCACTGACACCAACGACGGGGCGCTATTCCCCCCCCCCACTGACACCAACGACGGGGCGCTATTCCCCCCCCCACTGACACCAACGACGGGGCGCTATTCCCCCCACTGACACCAACGACGGGGCGCTATTCCCCCCACTGACACCAACGACGGGGCGCTATTCCCCCCACTGACACCAACGACGGGGCGCTATTCCCCCCACTGACACCAACGACGGGGCGCTATTCCCCCCCCCACTGACACCAACGACGGGGCGCTATTCCCCCCCCCACTGACACCAACGACGGGGCGCTATTCCCCCCACTGACACCAACGACGGGGCGCTATTCCCCCCACTGACACCAACGACGGGGCGCTATTCCCCCCACTGACACCAACGACGGGGCGCTATTCCCCCCACTGACACCAACGACGGGGCGCTATTCCCCCCACTGACACCAACGACGGGGCGCTATTCCCCCCACTGACACCAAGGACGGGGCGCTATTCCCCCCACTGACACCAATGATGGGGCCCTCCCACTAATACCAAAGATAAGGCATTTGTACTCTCACTGCCCCCTCAGGTCTGAAGGATAGAACCCTGGCGCTTAGTTTAGTACATTTGGGGATCCCTATGTTTGACAAATCAATAGAAGCCGTCCCATTCATGTCATTTGGGATGCAGCAGTCGCATGGACACAGCCGCTGCACCCAATTTGACAGCACTGTGAACGCACTCTGCCTGCTGTCAGGGCCACACACTCGGCTGTCAAACTGGGTGCAAGGGCTGTGACCATGCGATCTGAATGGGTCTGCTGGCAATCACGGCCCTCACTCAGGACGACGCTGCAGTACTTCCATGTGAACAATGCAGGCCATAGATGGGTTGAAAACCAGCCGTTTTTAAGGAAAATAAAACAGAAAAAATCGGTCGTTCAATCGGCCGACGTTACCAGCAACGGTAAAAAAAAAAAATCGTCGGCCGGCATTTTTACTTCTGTTCCTGCAGAGAGCTCCGCTATTATATTTTATATGAAAAGTCTTGTGGTTGCAACAATGTATCCATTTCAGATACAGATGTTTATATTCGGATACATATGGATACATTGTTGCAACCGCAAGACTTTTTCATGTCAAATATAATAGCGGACTGGAATTCTTCTCTCCCGTCTCTGCAGGGACAGAAGTATTTATGTGGTTAAATGCCGGCCATAGCCGGGACGAAAATCGCCCGATTTTTCTACCGTTGGTGGGAACGTCGGCTGCTTGAACGACCGATTTTTTTTTTTTTTTTTTCAACCGGCTGATTTTCGACCCGTGTATGGCCTGCCTTAGGCGGACTGTAGATAGGCAGATATCTCCCGGAGAATGAAGGACAAGGAGACCGTAGATGGATCTGACCATTTATAGCCATTATTTTTTTGAAGAAAAAGCAAAACTCAGTAAAATTAGTATCTGCTGCCCTCTGCTGGTCAATATGATTATCACACAGAAAACCGATGTACAAAAGCGCAATATTTATTATTTCGTTAAGATTATCATACATATAAAACCAATCTAAAATCTCGCAATATTCAGTTAACGAATGTGGTCAGCATTGTAAAACGAACTACAGCAGAACGTGGATTTTAGTTCGTTTTCGTCCCTTGGAAGAAAAGAAAAGAAAAAAAATCGGATTCAAAGCAGCAGCAATGTTATATCAATTTTAAAATCTAAAAATATCCCTCCATATCCGAAATCGTTTTCGAATTGATTGCGCAAAACAAACGACGATGGGGGTGATCTACTGAGGATCGGTTCACACCAGTGCCGTAGTGCGGGACGCCGCGTGGTAGTCCATATGTTTGAATGGGCTGCCACGCCTCGCAAAACGTCCCTGCAGCAGAAATCGCAGCCCGCTCTGGAGACCGCACTACAGCGTGCTTCCCAGTGCGGGGGGCGGCGTGCTATTAGGAGCAATGGCCACCACTTGGGGGGTCCTATGAACCGAGCCTAAAACTGGAGCACTCAGAATCTGGTAGCCAATCAGCTTCTAACTTCGGTTTGTGCAATAAAACTTGGAAGGCGATTGGTTACTCTGCAGAGTTGCAGCAGATTTTGCACCGTGCAGTGAACAACCCCCGATGTAAAATGCTCCCAGACTGTTGTAAACATCATTTTCCCTTTTTTTTTCCCTGCAGTTTGGCATCTCAACCGAAATAAAACCTTCACAGCAAGAACAATTTTACCGCGTACGTTCGATGTGTTTCCATAAAATTCACCTTCGGGGTCTAAAAATATCAGGCTATTCCCTTATATATTATCTAGTATGAGGTGGGAAGGGGTTCAATATGTACTCTGGGTGAGATGGAACCTCTGCTCCCCAAAGAGAGGCTATTCGGTGGTCCTCAGCTCATTAACTTACACAAGAGCACCAAGAGCTGAGTCCTCCAAAACCAGAAGTTCTGAGATGGACTTGGTCCTTAGGAGGGGTGCTGCCACAGCCAACCATTAACTTGCAGCTCTCAGCCCAAGGACTATCTGAGTCCTTCTCTAAAGCCAGAAGTTCTGAGATGGACTTGGTCCTTAGGAGGGGGTGCAGCCACAGCCAACCATTGAACTGAACAGGTATCTGTGGCAGAACCTCCCCTGATCATCTTTCAATGATCTCCAAGTTCTCAGTTCATTAACTTGCAGCTCTCAGTCCAAGGACTATCTGAGACTTTCTCTAAAGCCAGAAGTTCTGAGATGGACTTGGTGCTTAGGAGATGTGCCGCCACAGCCAACCATTAACTTGCAGCTCTCAGTCCAAGGACTATCTGAGTCCTTCTCTAAAGCCAGAAGTTCTGAGATAGACTTGGTGCTTAGGAGGGGTGCCGCCACAGCCAACCACTGAACTGAACCGGTATCTGTAGCAGAACCTCTCCTGATCGCCTTTCAATGATCTACAAGTTCTCAGTTCAATAACTTGCAGCTCTCAGCCCAAGGACTATCTGAGTCCTTCTCTAAAGCCAGAAGTTCTGAGATGGACTTGGTCCTTTAGGAGGGGTGCCGCCACAGCTAACCAATGAACTGAACAGGTATCTGTGGCAGAACCTCTCCTGATCGCCTTTCAATGATCTCCAAGTTCTCAGTTCATTAACTTGCAGCTCTCAGTCCAAGGACTATCTGAGACCTTCTCTAAAGCCAGAAGTTCTGAGATAGACTTGGTGCTTAGGAGATGTGCCGCCACAGCCAACCATTAACTTGCAGCTCTCAGTCCAAGGACTATCTGAGTCCTTCTCTAAAGCCAGAAGTTCTGAGATGGACTTGGTCCTTAGGAGGGGTGCCGCCACAGCCAACCATTGAACTGAACAGGTATCTGGTAGAACCTCCCCTGATAGCATTTCAATGATCTCCAAGTTCTCAGTTCAATAACTTGCAGCTCTCAGAACCAAGGACTATCTGAGTCCTTCTCTAAAGCCAGAAGTTCTGAGATGGACTTGGTCCTTTAGGAGGGGTGCCGCCACAGCTAACCAATGAACTGAACAGGTATCTGTGGCAGAACCTCTCCTGATCGCCTTTCAATGATCTCCAAGTTCTCAGTTCATTAACTTGCAGCTCTCAGAACCAAGGACTATCTGCATCCTTCTCTAAAGCCAGAAGTTCTGAGATGGACTTGGTCCTTAGGAAGGGGTGCCGCCACAGTCAACCATTAACTTGCAGCTCTCAGCCCAAGAACTATCTGAAACCAGAAGTGCTGAGACAAACCAGCCATCAGGGGAGATGTTAGCAGACGTCCTACCAGAGTCCCTCATGGAGCTAGATAGGTACCTCTTCCGACAAGCAGTGTACAAGGGCATGGCTGATTTCAGAGAAGGCATCCTCCATTACACAGCCCTTGACTATTCTCTGAAAGTTAATGAGCCGAGGCCTGTCATTGAAGGGCCCCTTTCTGTAAACGAATCTATCTCTAGAGAACCCGTACAAAGTCTGCAAGTCTACCAAAGGTCAATTGTCCTAACAAGCGATTAAAAGAATCACTAACAGCCCCGGAGACGATGAGGTATGGCTGTCAAGAAATTTGGCTACGCGGCTTGTGTTGACTCTTCGGAGGTCCTGGAGAGGAGCCGCATTGGTTGCCTCGATTGGGAGAGGAGATGGTTTGGCCAGGCGTACCGTGTGCAGCGGTGGTCCTCGTCTGGCCAGGCGTACCGTGAGCAGCGGTGGTCCTCGTCTGGCCAGGCGTACCGTGAGCAGCGGTGGTCCTCATTTGGCCCTCCTGTCGGCATGCAGAAGGGGTTCCCTTTCTTCTGGCTCACTGTCTTTTGACCGTTTCGCACCAAACACGAAAAACTGGATGATAATCTGCATTGGAGTCAGGAAAAGCAACGTGGAAGGTAACGGAATTCCATTTATAATGGAGGATCACAAGAGGTGACAACTGCCTGTGGAACCAAATGTGCAGAAAGACTTCAACGAGGAATTCAGGCATTGCTCAACTCTTCTCTTTTTTGTTAGATCGGTGAGAGAATTGGTCATGAATAAATAATTAGGGGGCCCATATCATTCAAAAAAGAGAGTTGAATTATACCTGTGACTAGTTAATATTAAGCCCCAAGCATCAGCCAATGGCTGTAGGACATTATGGTGGTGGCAGGAAGGTTTACAGGTCCCCCAGCTTGTGCACTGCAAGGACTGACACCAGCATGACAGTTGTACGTGATAAAGGATACAATGCAGTCCAGGCTCATGACCCCAAGACTCCCGATCAGCCAAGGCAGGTGATGCTTGATATAATCCGTTTCTGACTGCCCCTTGTCTGGGTTCTTCAGGAGGATGCTGAGCCCGTAGGTCAAGTTCCCCAAAATCACCATACAGAAGAGAGAGAGAGAGCAGACCCTCCGTGGACCGTCTCCGAAACTGAAAAGGAAAGAAGAAGGTCAATCACTGTCTTGTCCTGAGAGGAGACCAATCACTGTCCCATCTCATGATGGGGCCAATCACTGCCCAGTCCCATGATTAGACCAATTACCATCCCTTCCTATGAGGGGGCCAAATCACCATCCCACCACATGATGGGGCCAATCACTGTCCAGTCCCATGATTAGACCAATTACCATCCCTTCCTATGAGGGGGCCAAATCACCATCCCACCCCATGATGAGGGCCAATGACTGTCCAGTCCCATGATTAGACCAATTACCATCCCGTCCAATGCGGGGGCCAATGACTGTCCTGTCCTAAGATAAGGCCAAGCACTGTCCCCTCCCAGAATGGGGCCAGTCACCATCCTGTCCCATGAGGGGGCTATTCACCGTCCCGCCCCATGATGAGGCCAATGACTGTCCCTTCCCAAGATAAGGCCAAGCGCTGTCCCCTCCAATAATGGGGTCAATCACTGTCCCATCCCATGTTGAGTCCAATGGCTCTGCCTTCTCATGAGATCATTCACTGTCCCATCTCATGATGGGGCCAATCACTGTCCTTTCTCATAGTGAGGCTAATCAATGGGTCCCGTCCTTTGATCTTCTAGGAAGACTTTGTTCCCATTTGTGAGGTCGGGTACTGATGTTGGATGAGAAGACCTGACTCACAACTGCCATTCCAATTCATCCCGAAGGTGTTCAGTAGGGCTGAGGTCAGGGCTCTGTGCAGGACAACCCGAGTTCCTCAAAACCAAACTGGTCAAACCATAGCTTTATGGAGATGGCTTTGTGCACAGGAGACAATCATGCTGGAACAGAAAAGGGTCTTCACCAAACTGGTACCACAAGGTTGGACAAGCAAAGTTCTCTACAGCAATGATTCCAACTGCAGTCCTCAAGTACGCCCAACAGGCCAAGTTACGAGAGTTTCCCTCAGATAAAATATCCATCATAAATACAAAGCCATTGATGTTGATTAAAAGCATGGCCTGTTGGGGATACATGAGGACCTGAGGTTGGGAACTCAAGTTCCTTCACACCATACTGGTCACGCCATGTCTTCATGGAGCTGGCTTTGTACACGGGGGACAGTCATGGTGGAACAGAAAAGGGTCTTCACCAAACCATTACCACAAGGCTGGAGGACCCCAATTGTCTACAACGTCTTTGTATGACGGAGTATTACCGGGACCCTTCACTGGAGACACCTCAATTCCATCATTAGAGGAGGGGTTCGCTCACGTCTGTCTTTATACTGTATGTTTAGGACTGGCAGGGAACGGAACTCACGTTGGTGATGATCTGCGGCAGGCGGGAGGCGAGGTAGAACATGGAGGACACCGAACCAACCACACAGCCAATGATCTCCTGGGTGCTGAACGGCTAGAAGACACGGAACAAATCTTATACCAGAGGGCCACCTACTGGTCACACGAAGAACAGCTTAAAATGTATCTGATTTATAATGATAGTTATGGATGGTGTATGGAAGGATTCGATCTGTCTGTGAGATTCGACCTCTCAATTCGTCCGTGAAAGTCACAGGAAATCGAATAGACTGTTGTCAGAAGAACAGGAAGTGAGCGGAAAGAAATCTTCCAATTAGGTCACCTGTTCTGGGGACAGCTGAGAGGGGATTTCTTCTCACTTCCTGTTGTCTCTGGAGACAGGAAATGAAGACAAATTCCCTCGAAACACAGCACCAAAAAACTGACCCTTTTAACAATTTGTAACAAAATGTAACATTTTTTCTATGGATATACTTAAAAAAAAAACAAATAATGTCACAAAAATAATACGATTGGTCAGTTGTTAGTCATGTGACCATGCCAGGGTAATAAAGCTTATGCTTTCACCATGGACAGATTGTCAGGGTGCTCCTTGGTGGGGCTGCAGCCTCTTGTTAGAGGATTCTGTTCTGCGCAACTTCCCTCCAAGCTCCATTTTGTAAAAGGGGCAGGACTGCAGCCTCTTGTTATAGGATTCTGTGCTGCGCAACTTCCCTCCAAGCTCCAGTTTTTTTGGTCGGGACAGCAGTAAAAGGGGCGGAGCTGCAGCCTCTTGTTATAGGATTCTGTGCTACGCAACTTCCCTCCAAACTCCAGTTTTTGTGGGCAGGACAGCAGTAAAAGGGGTGGGGCTGCAGCCTCTTGTTATAGTATCCTGTGCTGTACAACTTCCCTCCAAGCCCCAGTTTGTGTGGGCGGGGCTGTGGTGAAATGGGCGGGGCTGGAGGTAAACATTGTCTGTAATGTTAAAGCCACAGATTCAGAATTTGGATGAAATTGCAGCCAATCGGGGAGGATTCTGCATCAGATTCCGCGTGTTTGTAGTGAACGCTCTCCATAACATACAAACCTCGGCATCAGAGTCGTCTGCCGCCAGCAAGCGCCGTCCACCGGGAGAACTGTGGTAGTTTGTTGCGGACAATCCGGGGTCACCCAGCTGGAACAGGGCAGCCGAGGAACCAATCAGAGCGAATCCACAGATGGCGTTTACGATGAGAGATGCTGCGAATCGGAGAAAAGATTTTATTGTAGAGATATTTTCTGGAATATCAATAATTGTGTGAAGCCGATACAATGTTGCGGCTGAAATAGAATCTGTCAGACATTCGGAAGCTTTAATAGTCCCGCCTAAAGCCGGCCATACACCTTGAGATCTGATTGTACAATTGCTGTCCAATCTCCTCGCCTGGATTCACAATGTTACCAATTCTTGACTCGACTAAGCCCCTCCCTATTCAGCGAAAGCACCTTATAAGGTCATTGGGTGGGCAGGGCTTAAAGTCAGGGAAGTCACAAACGAGAGACAAACTGAAACGGAGATCAGAGGGGCACACGGGGGCATCAGAGGGGCACATGGGGGTAACAGAGGGGCACACGGGGACAACAGAGAGGCACACAGGAGCATCAGAGGGGCACATGGGAGCATCAGAGGGGCACACGGGGGCATCAAAGGGGCACATGGGGGTAACAGGCACACGGGGCATCAGAGGGGCACACAGGGGTAACAGGCACACAGGGCATCAGAGGGGCACACAGGGGCATCAGAGGGGCACATGGAGGCACACGGGGCATCAGAGGGGCACACATGGGCATCAGAGGGGCACACAGGGGCATCAGAAGGGCACACAGGGGCATCAGAAGGGCACACAGGGGTAACAGGCACACGGGGCATCAGAGGGGCATCAGAGGGGCACATGGAGGCACACGGGGGCATCAGAGGGGCACACAGGGGAATCAGAAGGGCACACGGGGGTAACAGGCACACGGAGCATCAGAGGGGCACATGGAGGCACACGGGGGCATCAGAGGGGCACAGGGGGAATCAGAGGGGCACATGGAGGCACACAGGGGCATCAGAGGGGCACATGGGGCATCAGAGGGGCACACGGGGGCATCAGAGGGGCACACGGGGGCATCAGAGGGGCGCTTGGGGGCATCAAAGGGGCACACGGGGGCATCAGAGGGGCACATGGGCATCAGAGGGGCACACGGGGGCAGAGGGGCACACGGGGGCATCAGAGGGGCGCACGGGGGCACACGGGGGCATCAGAGGGGCACATTAGGGCAACAGAGGGGCACACGGGGGCATCAGAGGGACACACAGGGGCATCAAAGGGACACACGGGGGCATCAAGGGGCACACGGGGGCATCAAAGGGGCACACGGGGGCACACAGGGGCATCAGAGGGGCACACGGGGGCATCAGAGGGGCTCTTCGATTGCGATTGGTAGCAGCAGCCTGTAGTGTCGTCTCTCAGGGAAGAATTGTATTTGCAGTAGGCGGCGGGTTCCCTTTGAATGATGGCGGTGATGATGATGAGGATGATGATGATGATGATGCGCACACTCACCTCCCGCAGTCCGCTGGTTGCGATATTTGTAGTAGATGTAGAGGACGAGCATCAGTACGTCGGCCACCACGTAGTAAATCGCTGTGTACACCTGCAGGGGGAGACAAAGGAATGAGGAGACATTGGAGGGGGGGGCGGCCTGCTGGCTCCGCCCTCTAATGAAATAACCCGCCCTAATGGGGTGGGGGGGCTCATTCACACCAATGGGGGCTCATTGCAGGTTTTTTGACCACTTCAGTCCTGGAGCTGTACTTTGTGTTCCTTGCACACATTTTAAACACCATTTGAGGCCTGAAGACGACAAATCCGCCAAACGTTCCATATTTCGTGAAGGCGGAGACCCTGGAGAATAAAATGGCGGCAGCCACATGGACGGTTATGAAACGCAAAATTTCAGTTAAAAAAGATACGCGAAGGTTCACGTTACGGAACCTAAACCCGATTTTTGGGTAAAATATAAAAAATGAGGTTGTGCCGCGGAAATAGATAACCAACCTTAAAAATGGCGCACGCTGGTGGAATGACTGACACCAGCGCCGTGGATAAGGGGGTACCACCAGTCCTCATGTACGAGGCCCAGGATACCAGGGGGGCCCAGTCAGCTGGGTGAATTGGATGTGTTTTTTTATTTTTTATATACTAGTAATGGCGGCGATCAGCGACTTATAGAGGGACTGCGGCGGGCATTCTGACACTGGAGGGGAACTGACTCAGTGTGACTGACACCCCCAGTGACACCAATACAATGATCAGTGCTAATAAAAAGCCCTGACACTACTAATGGCACTGGGCAGGAAGGGGTTAACATCTGGGGAGATCAAAGGGTTAACTGTGTGCTGTGTGTGCTTCACTGTACACATGCTGCTATGCAGAGCCATACAAAGCAGTGTGCAGGAGCTGACAGGGGAGAGATTTGTGTTGTTTACATGCAGGTCTCTCCCCCATCGGTAATCCTTGGAGATCGCCGGGTGCCGGCGGGGAATCACCGTCGGGGACCCGGTGATTAACAGCCAAGGCCACGAATGGCGGCGCGGGTAGGGCGTGTACACGGCGCATGTATTATATACGTGATTTTGCACACCCGTGCCTCCCTGTGGCAGTATTTCTGCTATAAGGCGTTGTGGAAGCGGTTCATTAAACTTTTTTTCAACACACGCGATGCATTTTCTGGTAACAGGTTCTCTTTAATGAGATATCGGGGGTCTAATAGACCCCTAATGTCTCCCCTGTCCTCCAATAAACCCAATGGAGGGCAGACCACGCTCCCTTAGCTTTTTAAGTGACCCCCGGACCCAGAAGTGACAGTTTACCTGTCATTATCAGGAGGGCGGGAGGGATCAGTGAGCAGCTGTTCGCTGATCTCCCTCTCCTCTACCTGGCGGCACCCGCCATGCTGGTCCCGGGACCGCCGATGGGCTCATGGAACTTTTTTTTTCCCCATTGACAACTCACGTGCAGGTTTGTTGAAACCAACATTGGAAGAGAAAAGGGCAATCCTTTGTATGGCACACATTGGTCCAGTGAAGGAAGCCTGCATGCAGTCTGTTGGGGCTCCATTCACACCACCTCAATACAATGTAACAATGTCATTCGCGAGGACTGCGCCACTTACCTGGATTGGCAGTTGGTTCGACAGGAAGGCCCCCACAAAGTTGCAGGAGTCTCCGGCCAGCCACCCCAACAGGAACCAGATAGAGAGGGCCTTGTCCATGTTCCCCGTCTTACATGACTTGTAGTACTGCCTGCAAGGAGAGAGGACGGGTGATGGCGGTCTCTGAACACAAAACATACATTCAGTCCCCCTCACCCCCACCACATTTACCCCACCAGGGTGAGGACTGTACGGTGAGGACGTCTAATGACCCCCCCCCCCCCCCCCCCCCCCCCAGGGCGGTGATTCTGCTTCTCACGCATGTAGAAGGATGACGGACACTCTGTACAACGTGACAGCTTATGTCAGCAACAAAACGTCTACGTCAGCGACATTCTCACCCACAGCCGGAACCTCAGAGCCGAGTCAGCAGGTGACTACTCACGGGAAGGAGGAGAAGATGAAGCACAAGATGGAGACGAGCCCCAGGATGACGCTGGCCACGTCCCGCCCATCGGACGCACACTCGTTAAAGATGTTCCACACCCACTCGGATCTCAGGGTGCCGTTGGGGCAATCGGAAAAGTTCCTGGGGGGCGACGGAGCCTCCAGGCCCGAAAATCTCCGCCAACCGTACAT